AGCCGGATCAGCAACATCATCAGCAGCAACATCATCAGCAGCAGCATCAGCAGGGTCGTCATCAGCAGCACCATGATGCATCGTGAAGCATCAGCCACATCAGCAACATCATCAGCAGCAACATCATCAGCAGCAGCATCAGCAGGGTCGTCATCAGCAGCAGCATCATGAAGCATCAGCAGCATCAGCAGAGAGATGGACAGGAGGAGTGGGGGTGAGTGAGGGATGAGGTTGAGTGATGGTGAGTGAGGGTAAATGCGTCTCCTTATCACTGACTCACTCTCTTTCACACTCACTCACTCACACATTCAAGATCATGAACACACACACAACAACAACAACAACCGCCATTCGCCACTAAGTGGCGGTGACGTCACCACGACGCTCGTGCCAGGCCAAGTGCACCTTGAGGCCACGTGAAGTGTCGAACGCCCGCTTGCAGGAGGTCACGGGGCAGACCCAGCAGGTGCCACGGGTCGACTGACCGAGATGACCGAGATGACTGGCTGATGCACTACCTGTGCCCCCTACTGTACCACATTCACTCAGACTCAGACTAACACTCACACTCACACACACTGACTCACACTTATAATCATTCATATTCACTCACACTCACTCACTCCCTTTCACATTCACTCACACTCATTTAAAATCACTAATACTCCCAATCTCACACTCACTCACACACTAACACTTATAATCATTCACTCACACTTACATTCACTCACACTCTCACTCACATTCACTCACACTCACTCAAACTCTCACAACAAATACAAAAATCCCCGTATAACCCAACCAGGCTGTTTGGGCAAGTGTTGTTTGCGAGCACCTATGAAGGTCGGCACAACACACGAGGGGGTGGGTGGCCAACACCACGCCCGGCCGCCTTTGTCTCCCCAGTGCTCGTGTTTACACACAACACCAACAATCTCAACTCGCATTTTGACCGGCGTGTGCTCTCTAATCCACGTGTTCCTCTCTCTGCCTGCCGGTGTAATCACCACCACCACCGTGGTCTATACACTGCTGTATGAATATCAATCTGATGATGATGTCTCCGAACCTGTGTGAGGTCTCGAATCCACGTGGTCATGTAGCCCACGTGTCCAGCCACCGCGTGCCTTGAGCAGCTTCTGTTCGGCCGGATAGAAGGGGATGAACGGGCACGGTCAGGGCGAGAGACGAGATGATGGGTGGATGGGTGGGAGGGTGGGTTGGTGGGTGAGTGGATGGGTGACTGGGTGGGTGAGTGAGTAAGTGAGTGGGTGGGTGGGTGAGTGAGCGGGTGGGTGAGCGGGTGAGTGAGCGGGTGGGTGAGCGGGTGTGTGAATGGGTGAGTGAATGGGTGAGTGGGTAGGTGGGTGGTTTGAGTGAGTGGGTGGGTGGTTTGAGATAGTGGGTGAATGGGTGAGTGAGTGAGTGGGTGGGTGGTTTGAGTGAGTGGGTGGGTGGATGAGTGGGTGAGTGAGTGGGTGAGTGGGTGAGTGAGTGGGTGAGCGGGTGGGTGGGTGAGCGGGTGGGTGAGTGGGTGAGTGGGTGGGTGGGTGGTTTGAGTGAGTAGGTGGGTAGGTGGTTTGAGTGAGTGGGTGGGTGGGTGGTTTGAGTGAGTGGGTGGGGTGGGTGATTGAGTGGGTGAGTGAGTGAGTGAGTGGGTGAGTGGGTGAGTGAGTGGATGAGCGGGTGGGTGGGTGAGCGGGTGGGTGGGTGAGTGGGTGAGTGGGTGGGTGAGTTGGTGGGTGAGTGGGTGGGTGGTTTGAGTGAGTGGGTGGTTTGAGTGAGTGGGTGGGTAGGTGAGTGGGTGGGTGAGTGGGTGGGTGAGTGGGTGAGTGGGTGAGTGGGTGAGTGGGTGAGCGGGTGGGTGAGTGGGTGAGCGGGTGGGTGGGTGGGCGAGCGGGTGAGTGGGTGGACGGGTGAGTGAGTGAGTGAGCGGGTGGGTGAGCGGGTGGGTGAGCGAGTGGGTGGATGGGTGAGCGGGTGGGTGAATGTGTGGGTGAATGGGTGAGTGGTTGAGTGGGTGGGTGAGTGGGCGGGTGGTACAGGAGAATATGGAGCTGAGTGGACTTGCCAGAGACCGGTACCAGCAGTGTCAAGATCGGCAATTGGAAGCAGTCGCCCTCCAGCAAGAACGGAGGGCAGAGGAGCGACGCTCACAACATCGAGCGGAGCGCCGGGTGGATAAAACACAGAAAGTTAGCACAGCAGGGGGCACAGGTGGTGCATCGGCCACTCATCTCAGTCAGTCAACAAATTGCGCCTGGATTGTGTTCCGTGGCTCCTGCCAGCGGGCCTTCAACACTTCACATGATGGCCTCAACGTGCACCTAGCCTGGCACGAGCGCCGGTGGTTCTTGCTGTTGTTCTCTTATCCACGTGTTACCCTCTTTCTCCACGCTCCGTTTGGCACGGTTGGCTATGTACGGTGCGAAAGAAGTTCAACATACACACTACACTACACACTGCTATGCACTGCACACTATACCACTATTCCAGGTATAAAGAAAAAATATTGGGAACTGCTTCTTGTCTTCTTGGTTCTTTCGGTAAAGTCACGTAGAATGGAAATAATAAAATAATAAAAATAAAACATAATAAAATAATTCTCACGACGTTTCGGCCACAACGCAAGCAGCCGTCCTCAGGTGAAGACCAGGTCTGTCGGGGAGACAGCGTCTGAATGAAACACCACCACGCTTGGAGCTCTTCCCCCCCTTCCAACCCAGCTTAAATATACACTCCAAGCACGTGTGCTGTTTCATTCAGACGCTGTCTCCCCGACAGACCTGGTCTTCACCTGAGGACGGCTGCTTGTGTTGTGGCCGAAACGTCGTGAGAATTATTTTATTATGTTTTATTTTTATTATTTTATTATTTCCATTCTACGTGACTTTACCGAAAGAACCAATAAGATGAATCCCTGCAGTCACGAAAGCTTTAAATCGAAATTTTACTGCTTATTGTGTTCAGTGTTGTTATGCTTACCCAGCATCTTCGTTGCAAAAGAAGTTCAACATACGTACGTACGCGCGCGCGAGACACGTGTGTAAGTTATCGATTAATTTGTTTATCAATAATTTGAGCTTTTGAGAAGGTGGGAGAAAATTGAGCGGGGGGGGGGGGGGGGGGTGGTAATTCTGATCTTAGTTCAAGGCAATTAAGCACGTACCCAGAGTCCCCGGGAGAGAGCGCCTCTGATTGGTCGACTGTTTGGCATCGTTAAGGTCATCCCCAGGGTGCAATTACCTCCCCCACCCCACCCCTCCCCCCTCTACCTCCCCCCGCTACCCCCACCGCATCACCTCCCTCCTCCGCCCTCTTCCCCCGTCTCTCTCACCTCCACCTCTCTCACCTCACCCGGGTCGCGCTGGCAATGGAAACTCTCCTCCACCACAGCCGCCTCGCAGAGCTTTCAGGGCGCTACGCAGAAGTTCCCCGTTGAAGTTGAACTCTCCCCCCTCCCCTCTCCCACCTCCCCCCTCTCCCCCCCTCCCCCCTCTCCCCCCTCCCCCCTCTCCCCCTCTCCCCCCTCTCCCCCCATCTCTCACCTTCTTCCAAGACTTGCCCTCCACGCCTCTCCCATCACTCACCTCCAACCCATCTTCTCTCACTTCCCCATCACCTCCATTCACCATCACTGACGTCAGCTCGCTCCCCCCCCCCATCACCTCCCCCCCCCCTCCCCCATCACCTCCCTCCCTCCATTCTCCCTCCATCCCTCCCCCATCGCCTCCCTCCCCCATCACCTCCCTCCCTCCCCATCAACTCCCTCCCCCCATCACCTCCCTCCCCCCCATCACCTCCCCCATCACCTCCCTCCCTCCATTCTCCTCCATCCCTCCCCCATCGCCTCCCTCCCCCATCACCTCCCTCCCTCCCCATCAACTCCCGCCCCCATCACCTCCCTCCCTCCCCCCCATCACGTCCCTCGCCCCCCATCACCTCCCTCCCCCCCATCACCTCCCTCCCCCCCATCACCTCCCTCCCTCCCCCCCATCACCTCCCCCCCCCCCCATCGCCTCCCTCCCCCCCATCGCCTCCCTCCCCCCCCCATCACCTCCCCCCCAATCACCTCCCTCCCTCCCCATCACCTCCCTCCCCCATCACCTCCCCCCATCCCCTCCCTCCCTCCCCCATCGCCTCCCTCCCCCCATCACCTCCCTCCCCCCCACCTACCTCCCCCCCCACCTCCCCCCCCCCATCACCTCCCTCACCCCACCTCCCTCCCCCCCACCTCCCCCCCATCACCTCCCTCCCCCCCACCTACCTCCCCCCCACCTCCCCCCCCATCACCTCCCTCCCCCCACCTCCCTCCCCCCCACCTCCCCCCCATCACCTCCCTCCCCCCCATCACCTTCTTCCCCCCCACCTCCCCCCCCATCACCTCCCTCCCCCCCATCACCTCCCTGCCCCATCACCTCCCTGC